CTGGAAGGGGCTGCCCAGGGAAGTGGTGGAGTCCCCATCCCTGGAGGGGTTCAAAAAGCTGTGGATGTGGCACTTGGGGACATGGTGGGGTTGGATTGAGGTTGGACTTGATGATCTTGGAGGTCTCTTCCAACCTGAATGACTGTGATTCAATGCTCAGTGCTTCAGGGTCACCTCTTGGCTGGGCAGCAAGATCTCAGTGAGAGATGGAGATGCTGCCCATGGAGACCCGTTATCTGGATGCTCTGGTCTGCACGGACACTGGTCCACGTGGACACACATGAACCTCCATCGCTGCGGCCAAGCACCGCTCCCTTTCTGCATGAGGACGTCCTGGATTTCCATCCCCTGGGGTTATGGGTCAAAGCTGGCTTCTTCCTTGTGTCCCAAACCCTGGAGCCCAACCCGACTGCTGGAATGAGGTGGATCTGACCACCCCAGGGGGTCTGAAAAGGGATGGACCTGCCCCTTTTGTGCTCTCTGCCACAGGATGGACCTTCTCTGGTGGGATGCTCTGCCAAGGGATGGCTCTGCTGACCCCATCTGCCCTGCAGGGGATGGTGCAAAAGGGTGGATCTGCCCATCCCACATGCTCTGTGCAGGCGTTGGGACCATGGACACCCCGCTCTGTACCCTGCACTGGAGAAGGACATCCCTTACCTCTCCCCTACCCAAGTGACACCAGATGTGACCCCAGATCTCAGCCCACGGACCCCACCACAGCCCCGCACTTACCTTCTTGAGCTGTTTGAGGTTGCTGGAGCGGATGGCCGCCAGGAGCTGGTCCCGCGAGTTCTTCTCCTGGACCGGCAGTGCCCGGTCTCCCAATTTCCGCTGCGTGGCCGGTGACAGCGAGTTCCTCAGGTTCTCGTTGATCACTGGCGGGGCGAGCGGAGGAGGCGGCGGGGGCGGCGCAGCGGGCGCTCCCCCTTTCTTGGGAGTGGTTTTAGGGGAAGCCTTGGGGGATGGCTGTGGGGACGCCTTGGGGGACCCCTTTGGCAGGGCTCCGGGCTTGGGCACCTCCAGGAGGTCTTTCTTCTCCCCGCGCTCCTGGGCCAATTTCTGCTCCTGGAGGCGTTTCTGCCTCTGTTTGTCCATGTTTCGGCTCAGCAGGTTGGTGACCGTCATGCGTGGCCCGGCCAGCTCAAAGTGGTAGCCCAGCTTGAGGAGCGTGGTGTTCTCCTTCAGGAGCTTGGCGATCTCCATCTCCGTCTTCCCCCCGCAGATGTGCCGCTGGTTGTGGAAGCGCAGCTCCGTCAGCGTGTTGTTCTGCAGCAGCGCCCGGAAAATGGCCAGGATGCCCTTGCCCGTGATGTGGTTGGAGTCCAGGTTGATGCTGGTCAGCACCTTGTTGGACTTCAGCATGATGGCGATGGCGAAGGCCACGTGGTCGTCGGCACGGGTGTTGGCCAAGGCGAACAGCTTGACCACGGTGTTGAACTCCAGGGCCTCGGTGAAGCGCACCAGGGTCTCGTTGTTGATGCAGTCCGAGTTGTTCACGTTCACCTCGGTGACCTCGGCGTCGTTGTTCTTCACCTTCTCGATGAGCTCGTCAAAGATGCTGGAGGCTTCGTCATCCTTGGCCTGGTCCGGGGAGCTGCCCGTGGCGGGTTTGGGGGGGCTGCTCTCGGCCGCTGCCTTGGCCTCTTGCTTCTCCTCCGCTGCCTTTTCTGCCTCTGCCTGCGATTTCTCCTCATCTGCCTTTGATTTTTTCAAAGCTGAACTCTTTTCCTCTTCTTTTTTCTCTTTTTCTTTCTTATCTTCTCCCTTTCTGTCTTTTTCTGCCTCTTTCTTTGATCCTGAACTCTTCTCTTCCTCCTTCTTGTCCTTCTCTGTGCCCTTCTTCAAGGCAGAACACTTTTCTTCTTCCTTTTTGTCCTTCCCTGTCTCCTTCTTTGCTGTTGAGCCCTTCTCTTCTTCCTTTTTGTCCTTCCCTGTCTCCTTCTTTGCTGCTGAGCCCTTCTCTTCTTCCTTTTTATCTTTCCCTGCATCCTTCTTTAATGCTGAGCCCTTTTCTTCCTCTTTTTTATCCTTTCCTACGTCCTTCTTTAATGCTGAGCCCTTTTCTTCCTCCTTTTTATCCTTCCCCGTGTCCTTCTTCAGCACCGAATCCTTCCCTTCCTCCTTTTTGTCCTTCCCCATCAGCTTTTTCTCCATGGCCTTGACTTTGTCGTTGATAGCCTTCTCCTCTTTGGTCTTGGTCTCAGCCTCACCTTTGACTTTTGGGTCTGTTTTCTGAACGCTTTCCTCCTTTTTGGAGTCTTTCCCCACTTTTGTATCTCGTTTCCGGTCCAGGTCTTTGGAAGGAGCTTCCTTTCCCTTTTCCTCTTCATTCTTGGCTCCTTTACTCTTCTCGCTCAATCTGCTTTCCTAACAAGAGAGAAACACCAAGGGGTTACAGATGCAGAGCCCCCCAAACTCCAGATCCACCATCTCTGTCCCATTGTCACCACCTCTGTCACACAGGAGCGGCCACGGGGCCCTGCAGGGCAGCACCACAGCCCGGGAGGAAGGTCTTGGACTACACCTATGAGGGATGAGCTGCCCTGAACGCCACATTTATGATAGAAACCTGGTGAGAGCATCGTGCAGGGTTCCCAAAAGGCTGTGGGGAGGTGCCATGGGGGAGCATGGGGACAGTTAGTGCTGCTCTGTGCCATGGCAGACCCATAGAGGTAAGCAACCAGCCCCAAATCACGGTGTTTTAGCCTTGACTATGGGTCAGGTTCTCCTCCATCTCCCCTGGGTAGTTTAACACTGCGTGTCCACACACTGAGCCTGTGGGAAGAGGGAAATTTAACCCAGCCGAGGCCTCGGGTCCAGGGCAAGGTTCAGAGCCTGAGTGCCCCCAATGGGGGCAGAGCCTGCAGGACCCCAGTGTGTCCAGGTCCTGCTGCAGCTCTCCAGGGCTCTGCTGCTCTCCTCCACCTCCAGGCCCTTCCCAAAGGGCTCCAGAGGTCTGTGGGGTGCCCTCCTTCCCCCAGTGAACAGAGGACAACCTCACAAGCACCAGCATGGATCTCTGAGCTGTTTGGCTCCTTCCTATTGTACATCCTATGAGTTATCCTCTTTTTAATCACCTCTTAATCACTTTATGTTATCCTCCTTTTAGTCACCTTTTCAATCAGGGATGGATCTTATGCCTTGGGTGCTTTCCCAGCTTTCCTAAATGCTTTTCATCTGGATGCTCTGCAGCTTTGCCAGGTCCAGAGCCCAAAATGCTTCCTGTGCTGGCCTGGACATGTGTGCAAGCAGAGGATCCAGATTGACACTGGTGACTGCAGTCACACCCTGGGATGAAACTGCCTCCTTTTTAATGTAAGTTTACATTTTTGAGCAGAGAACCGAGGAAATGAGCACACGGCGTTTATCGCTTTGTAATGCACGATGCTTTCCCTGCCCATCTTCTTCCAAAGGCATCCCAGGAGGGAAGAGCTTGGGGGCAGACACAGGCTTTGATGTGTGGGTTCAGCAAAGCAGTGTCACCGTGACACCCCCTGCCCTGGGATGTCCCCATCTCAGTGACACAAAGACCCACAGCTGTGCCCTGGACCTCCTGAGCTGCTTTGGCTGGTGAGCATCAGTGCTTTCGTTGCCTCCTTGTGTATTCACTCTTCAAAAGCAATTCTTGCCTTTGCTTTTATGCTTATCACGATATCACTGTTGTGTTCACAGGACTTTGATACAGAGGAGGAACTTAGTCTGGTTTTCAGCTATCCAATGCTGTCAGCGACTGTGTCCTCACTGCATGGACATGGATGCAACCCCAAGGTGTGGTGGCTCTTTTCTTACAAACCACCCCTGGCAGCAAAGGATTTTCCTCTTTCCCCTGATGCTTTAG